AGTACGTCCCATTCAAGCTGTAAAAGTTTTTGGCGAGTGACCAAACTTGTGTGAGGTCTCGCATTATCCTGGTGGAACACTACACCCTTCCTGTTGATTAATTCGGGCCTCTTCTCTTTAAGTGAATCATTCAATTTGTCCAGTTGATGACAATAGACTTCTGAATTAATCGTTGTATTGTCCGGCAAAAGCTCAAAAAAAAAACGATTCCTTTGACATCCCACCAAACGGAGAGCATCACCTTTTTTTGCTGAATGTTGGCTTTTGACACGCTTTGAGCCGGTTCATCTTTTCTGCTCCATGACCTCTTGCGTTTAACATTGTTGTATATAACCCATTTTTCGTCCCCAGTAATAATCCGCTTCAAAAATGGATCATTTTCTTGACGTTTGAGGAGCGAATCACACACGTCAACGCAACGACACAAATTTCGCTCCGTAAGGACATGGGGCACCCACACATCGAGCTTGGAGGTTAAGCCCATGCCTTTCAAATGGCCATAAACAGTCGAATTCGACAAATTTAATCTCTCACCGATCTCTCGTGTGGTTATTCGCCGATTTGCATCAACTAATGCCTTTATCGGATCTTTGTCAGCTTCGACCGGCCTTCCAGACCGTGGTGCATCTTCGACATCAAAATTGCCGGATCGAAATTTTGCAAACCAGTTCTGGCACTGACGTACTGTTAACACGCCTTCTCCATACACATCCGTCAATTTTTTTCTCGCTTGGACAGCATTTTTACCTTTTCTGAAGTAAAAAAGTAAAATATGACGAAAATGCTGCTTATTGCTCTCCATATTTAAAAGGGCACCAACCAAAAACTACTGCGTAGAATTAATAGAACTTTTTCACACACAAGCCTTGCAATATCAGCTCTCAAGACGTATAATGGTTATGCGGCTTAAGTGTGAAGTTGGTTTCGAAAAAACGTAATTAAGTCATCTGACGGGAAAAAACGAAATGACTTTCCGAACAACCTTATATATATATATATATATATATATATATATATATATATATATATATATATATATATATATATATATATATATATATGCTACGAATCGTTTCCGTCAGCTTATATAGCTATAGCGATTTTTTTATCTCCTAATTCATCTAGTTTTTAATATGTTTACAATTACCTAGAAATTGTTGGGGTAAATGACATTTTTTTTTAATATTTTTTTCATTAAAAAAATGTCTTTATTCTTATAAATTTATTTTTTCGGAAAAAGTGTCTAAAAATAGCTGGTTCAGTTACCAATTTGTTTTGGTCTTACTTTTAAAAACAATTGTTTTTATATAATTCGGATATATTTAAAAAGCAAAAAAAAAAGAATTGTTTAAAATCGTTTACAATCACCCCACTGGACCCTACACAATTTCTGGATGAATACGGGGTGTCCAAATAGTGTAGTAAAGTAATAATCTCGTTAATTATTTGTTTTAGAGGAAAACGTTAAATACAAAAATTAGACATGAGACTAAAAGAAATATTTTAAAAATATTTTGAAATATTCTCATCTCCCCCTTCCTGTAGCAATTCATATTGTTGGATTTACAACTCTCTACTACATAAATTTTCTTTTACTCATCGAGTAGCTATTTAAATTAACGTAAAATTATTGATGAAACCTTTATGCTTAGAATTGCAGCCTGAACCACACGTAATTACGTTTTTTATTTTGTGCTCTACGTTGTACGATAAATAATAAATGGTATTATAATTATTATATAGAAACTGTTTTCCCATGTGTCGGTATTTCACAAATGCCTTTCGAATCGGCGCCTGATTGAATTCGGAAACTTAAATTAGATATGCGATAGAGAATATATATGCATTAACAGCGGATGACATCTGCTCGACTCCATAGTAATGAAGTGGGAAAAGTTTCCCAAAAGATATACAATACAGTTATTCCTGTATTCCCATATTATGATTAGTAAGATATCCATAAATATTTTATTCACAGTTTGGATCAAGATGTCGATCTTTATTAACTCAATACTGGCCGCTGACGTAATAATACGTCATTTTTTATTTAAAATCCAGTAGCCGCTGACGTAGTAGTACTTTTTTTGACAGAATAACTTTGTGCCATCAAACAGTCGATTCAGTTTAAGTGGTGTTTTATCAGTATTTAAATAAATATAGATTAATTTATTATTTAACCTGCTTTATAATGGAAGAAGGCGATTTTGAATGGAATAATATTTGCAATGAGACTAATGAGCATTTGCTGATATATCATCTGGGGATGAAAATGATACAGATGAAAGCGATGATTCAGACATTGTAATCAATACTAAAAGAAAGGTTTTACCTATTGTCAGTGATTCTGAGAGTAGCGATTCCGATTTAAAAACGAAAACAATACAACTACAGACTGGTCCGAAAATGATAGTGATATAAATATACATGCATTTTTGAGAAATGATGGTGTTAAAGTGTTTAAAAAAATCCTAAAAATATACAAGATACAGTGGACTTGTTTATTGGCGATGACGTTTATAAATTATTAGTAAAGGAAACGAGCAGGTTTCATATGCAAAATATTCACAAATATAAATCCCTGAAAAAGATTAAACAATGGACAATACAACAATAAAGAAGTTTCTTGGTTTGAATATCTGGGGACAGGTAAGAAAAAGTAGTATAAACGATTATTGGTCTACTGATCTACATATTGGAACACCAATTTTTGGCAAAGTTATGCCTCGAAATATGTTTAGAAAACGCAGATCGGCTCTTCAAAATTGAACCAATAACAGAATATTTTTGATATAAATTTGGCGCAGTTTATAAACCCAAACGGAATCTTTCATTGGATGAGGCAATGATACCCCACAGAGGCCGTTTAAGTTTCCGAGTCTACAACCCAGGCAGAATGTTATGCGAATCGCAACTTTAAATTCTAGAACGGAAGAGGACAAAAGTTACAAAATCCCGTAAAAAATCTTGTAGATAAATATGAAAATATTTGGTACCATGTTTATATGGAAAACTATTATAATAATGCTGAATTAGAAGAGCATTTGCTTTCCAGGAAGATAAGAATATGTGGTACAATTAGAGAAAATCGTGGGCTGCCTCAAGATATAAAAAAAAAAGTTAAAAACAGACAATCATTTTTTACATAGAAAAAAACAAATTTTAATTCATGCATGTCTAACTCAACGATACATCAGGCTCGGTAAAATAAGTCGTGAAAAAACAAACAGTATTATACATTACAATAAGTTTACACCTTTCTTATAATCCTATTATAAGAAAAAGTCTCAAATGGGCAAAAAAGGCTTTTATGTTTATTTGAACTGCGTATTACTTAATTCATTTGTGATATACAAGAAATTGAACCCGGCAAAGAAAATAAAATTTTTCTACTCCCGTCTGTAAAATATCTAATTACACACCTATCTAGGGTGCGGGAAGCGTCACTGTACCACGTCAGTTTTATGTTCCACTGATCGGATCGGATGATTTCCGAGATATTTCCCACGCCTTGAATTTGACGTTTGTGAATTCTGACAGCCACGTTCGGTAAACTTTTTAACTCACTCGTCTATTAAAAACTCGTGAGTCAAATGCCATTTACCGCACTTGTTGCATAATATACTATTACCTCTTGTTTACTAAAGGAGTTGCTAGAAGTTGTATCGAAAATCAAGAAAATATGGGTTTGGAAGCAGAAGTTTCTGAAGGTCCATCAAAAAGAGCTTCTCGATCCACCAAGTAGGAGATATAAAACAACGTAGGTTTGTAAACTTAAAAGTTCGGAAAAAAAAAATCCACAGAAACGGTGCAAAGTTTGCAAAATTCACAGCATACCTCTATGTGTCGGAAAATGTTTTAAGGACCACATTAAAATATATATATATATATATATATATATATATATATATATATATATATATATATATATATATATATATATATATATATATATATATATATATATATATATCAGTTTCCTGTGTGGTGGTCAGTTCGGTACTGGCGCGCTGGGCGGCATCCTTTCGGCTGCACAAACGGTCTGGCACGCACTGGGACCGTGATTGATGCATGACAGTCACGTGACTCTGGCGTGTTCACGCATAGCGGGGTTTCACATATAGCAACGAAAACTAATAGGTTCTTAACAATAGTTTTATATGAATAAACGTATATTATTATTTTGTTTATAGCTTTACTCTTGTTCGACCCTTCAAGAATCAATGGTATTAATTTAAACATAAAACATTATATAAATTTCGAAAAACGTTCGAAATGCAAACAGGGCCCGGTTCGGCGACGGCTCGATTAAGAATTTTTAGAGGCCAATTATGAGTTAAGAATCGAAAATATATAAAATAATAAATAAATTAAATATTTTGAATAAAAACATTTCCATAACTCAGTGATATTTTGAATTGATCAAGGGAGTACAAATATTAAAAAAATTACATTAATAACTTGACTATTTGTAGACTTGGTTATAAAATTGTGGTATAATTGCCTTAAATCATTAATACATATAATTTTAGGCATATTTCGTTTCTAGGTTTTACCTAAGGAAGAATGTGTCTTTTCATTTGAAGGAATACATTTGTTTATATTTTTCGTACTACCGGGTGACACAAGAGTCGAGCCCTTTTCATCTTCCAAAAATGGAATATTTATACCGTGGGACACAAGAAAGTGGAAACACTACAACTTTTAAACGGCTTGGCATTTTTAATCTTACAGACTTGACAATTAATCGTGAATAGAAGCAAAGCAACGTAAGTAATGTATTGTTTTTATAAAAATGTATTTTGTTATCTGTTTTTCCTTCCTGTGAGTCCATCCGGTATACAAAAATTACTTTTCAATAATAAACCATATTTTAGTAACCAAAGTTTTATGATTGTTTCAGTAAGGTGACGGTTAATTAGCTTTTGTCTATCGTCTTTCGAAACGGGAGATTCCTTTTAAAAGTGACCAAATTAAAAATTGACCATTGAAAAGGTACTTACACCAAATCCCAATCCGCTATCCGATTGACTTCGTCCATAACATTTTGGACATTGAAGCGGAAAAATGGCTCGAACCGTATATCGTCTTCGAGAACCAAAACGGACTCGTATTTCTTGTCGACCACGTCTTGCCAAATGTGGTAATGGCTGAGAAAACAGCCGATTTCGCCGAGCTTCATCGGTCTGGAAAAAAATATTTTATGAGAGAAACGGCAACAACAAGCCCAATCGGATAGGAACTTTTTTTTGGCAACGCAGAACCTATTAGGCCACAGCAACTGTGACTTCGATTTCATTTTATTTATATGGATATTTTTTTAGATAATCATACGGTCTATATTCTTATTACAAATCGTTTAAAACAATTTGTAAATCGATTGTAAAATTTTCATAAAGCCTCTACGGATAAAATGGATACTGTTTTTAAAATTTTATTGCTGATTTGTTACTCAATATTTCCTTCTTTCTATATCTTTTGCGTGATATACACTGTTTACCTTGTCTGTGTGAGGATTAATTCAAGAAAACATTTAATTAATTATTGTGAATGTTACAAGCTAATTACAAATAATGTTAGATGACAAGTGTTACACCCAGATCTTTGATAGAACGAACTCTTTTTAACTATTCACCACACAATCATCACAAAAAAAGGGTTATTATTTTGTAAAGGGTGTTTTTTTTCGATGTATAGAACTTTAAGTTGCAATAAAACAACGATGGATTATTCGATTGACATGAATTTTATTTATCCGAAAGATAATCTTGTGGCATTACATTTTAAATATGATTTCTGGCATATGACCGCCACGGCGGGCGCGGATGTAGTCCACTCTGGACGTCCAATTTTCGATGACTATTTCCAACATTTATGGCCGTATATCGGCAATAACACGGCGAATGTTGTCTTCCAAATGGTCAACACAGAAAGTAGTCTAGCGGTGTTAGGCGGTCACCATACGTGTCTTTCAATAAATCGATTGTGGCACGAGCTGTGTGACATGTTGCGCCGTCTTGTTGAAACCACATCTCCTGGACATCATGGTTATTCAATTCAGGAATGAAAGAGTTAGTAATCATAGCTTTATACCGATCACCATTGCCTGTAACGTTCGGGCCATCATCGTTTTTGAAGAAGTACGGACCAATGATTCCATCAGCCCATAAAGCGCACCAAACAGTCAGTTTTTCTGGATGTAACGGTGTTTCGACATACACTTGAGGATTAGCTTCGCTCCAAATGAGGCAGTTTTGTTTGTTGACGTAGCCATTCAACCAGAAGTGCGCTTCATCGCTATACAAAATTCGCTTATGAAAATCGGGAACATCGGCAATCTCGTTTTGGGCCCATTCGACGAATCTACGCCTTTTTGATGATCGTTTGGCTTCAGTTCCTGCACGTGTTGGATTTTGTAAGCACATAAATCACAATCCTTCCGCAAAATCTTCCATAAAGCACAGATCCAATTCCTGTGCTCGATGGCGAATGGTCTCATTCGGGTCTTCCTCAATGCTACGCCCTACATCAGCAATAGCTCCTTCTGTACGCACCGTACGGCGTCTCTGGGGATGCGAGTTATCAATAAGAGTAAACGTGCTGCGAAAACGTTCTGCTCTGATGGACGATTTTGTCGACGATAAAATGGACGTAGTGCGCGATACGTATTCCGCACAGAACCCTTATTTTCGAAATAAAATTGCACTATTTGCAAGCGTTGTGCAGGCGTGAGTCTATTCATGATGAATTGCCAAACCAAACTGAGAATAAATCACTTGACAGCTGTTAAATCGATCGCCATCTTGAAGAGTAATGCCAACACTTAAAAGTTCTATACATCGAAAAAAAAAACACCCATTACATGCTGATGGAGTTACATTTACTATGATCTTTCCTTGCTAAAATTTGTTACTTCAGTTCGTGTATGTAGGGGCTTGCAACATTTCAATAGTGCTCATCCTCCTTAATGCCATGTGAGGGCTTCTGTCCATATCTTTTCACCTAATCTGTTCATTACGTACATACGAGGTCAGCGCTAAAATTTCCCGGCCTGACATAGATGCAGCTCCAATATCACGATAAAACTTTGTCTTTTTTTAAATATATTTCTTAGTAGACTGCGAAAAAAAATTGAAGTCTTGCGTCAAATAATTTTTTATTGACAGCATTCTAAACAAAAAACGAAAAAATGTCTCAAATAACGTAAATTGAGTATAGAGTAGTCACAAACTTTTTAGACAAAAGAAGGGTTAACACTTAAAACTATTAAAGAAAGGCTGGATGGTGTGTACGGCCAAAGTTCTCCTTCGCATTCTGTAGTGAAAGAATGGGCAAAACGTTTTCGGATGGGGCAACAGTCCCTTGAAGATGATCCAAGAACTGGTCTACCAATGGAGGTCATAACGGAAGATAAAATATATAAAAAAGAGCAAATTCCGTTGCAAAGACGACTTTCCGGACAACCTCGTATAGACGAATCCCGATTGTTTCTAACCGGCGTCTTCGCTTGACGGAACTTTGATTCTTCCCACGGTCGATTGTTACGGAGCTAACGTTATGATCGACTGCACACGATACGATGCAAAATTTAAACGGATTATCCTTCCGTTCCCTCCCATCCAAACCCTGAACCTTTTGTCCCCCAAACGGCCGATGTTTACCAAGGGCACACGCAACCGGAATTTGTCTGTGTTAACACTAGCGTAACGAAATTAGATCCCAAACTCGTCGACACTGTTAAACAAAAATGACTTTTATTATAAACAGTTTATAAATACATTCGAACATGAATAAAATCCTATTTAAAAAACTGAAATATCTTGAAAATAACGCGCGCACAATTTTTTCTAAATATCTAAAATGTCCGTTCGCTGCAACGTTATATTTCTGCGAGCAGGATTCGCACATCCAGAACCTACATCCTTCACTAATCTACCTAAGGTATTCAAACAAAAACCCCTCGAATTACAATGGTTGGCAATGAAACCCTTTTTTTATGATAAATTAAATGATTCAAACGTTTTGAATCTACCCCCGTTGGCCGATTTTTTCTATAACGTCTAGATTTTTCGATTTTTTTTATATTTCAAAATTTTGTTTTTTTTTTTTTTTTTCAATTTTTTCATTCGTCAACGTTACAAAAAGTAAATATACATACAAAATGAGTTTCAGAGAGTTGTACGAGAAAGGAGGGAAGTGCCGAAGGTGATTTTTATGGTAGTAAATACGCTCATGCGCAGTATTCATTGTGACATTACAACAGTTCAGTGAAAACTTGTCGTTTAATTGTTTACCTTTTATATCAAATATTTTGGTAAGTTTTGCATAAAGTTCATGATATGGATTTAAGTATTTGATGTGTAGTTTGAGTATTTTTTTTAAGTAGAGTCAATAAATATAAAATAGAAGTTTGAAAGTTGTTTTAAAATTAATTTTATGTGATTTTAGGTTACAAAATGCCACGGACTTGTAAAAATTCCTCAGATTGTTTTTGCTACATTTGTGGGGAATACATACTAAAAACACAGCGACATGTCATGACCGATCTGGTTAAAACAGTTTATAAGCTATATTTTGGATTTTCTATCGATGAGCGAGATAAAAGTTGGTTGCCAAAAGTATGCTGCAATAGCTGCTCAAGAAAGTTGAGAGGTTGGCTTGCCAATGATTTGGAGTGAGCCTCAAAATCATGAGATTGATTGTTATTTCTGCATGACCTCTACAAGAGGAAAAAAAATAGAGATAAGATTGTTTATCCGAACGTCCTATCTGCAAAGAGACCAATTCCTCGTGATAAAGACACTCCACCTCCAGTTCCACCAGTTAATGAAGAGGCTGAAAATAAAAATATTCAATGTCTTTGTAATATAATAATAATAGTAACAATAATAATAATAATAAACATCATGCAACCTTTTCTCGATCCATGGTATTCATGCTACTATCGTAGATGCCAGAGCTGATCTGAACTTGTGTAGAGAGATTTTGTTCTACTAGATTTTTAATCGGAAAATAACTATCAAAAAGTTAAAAATCAAGAACATTAGAGGAAACAACTTGATTCGGTGCGTTAGGTGGGGAAAGTTGGGGAACATTGATGAATTTCGACGTACAAAACTTAGTACTTTAATTTTCACTAACAACTAACAACCATCTTGTTTGGGATCTACCAAACCCGCGCTTGAAAGGTTAAGTCAGACTTATTATATACTATATTATACAAATTCTCATTTCTGACCTCATGACACCACCTGACACCTCTGAATTTCAGTTCTAATGGAATTTCTTTATTATTTTAATTGTAAGTTCTGAATATTTCTGTCATTGAGATGTTGGTTACTTGTTAATAACGCATTTTAACACAAAATAATTTTGTATTTTTTTAACTTTATTCGAACTAAACTGTATATATATATATATATATATATATATATATATATATATATATATATATATATATATATATATATATATATATATATATATATATATATATATATATATATATATATATATATATATATATATATATATATGATGACACTATATTCCGGGATATCATCCGTTCGCTCGTTGAACTCCGACTGGAATCCTGCATCCGACTGGAATCCTGCAAATCTTGCATCCGACTGGAATCCTGCAGACGTTTCGCCAAAATCTCACTTGGCATCTTCAATGCCAAGTGTTCGAAGTGTTTTCGGAGCGCGAGCATTGAAGATGCCAAGTGAGATTTTGGCGAAACGTCTGCAGGATTCCAGTCGGATGCAAGATTTGCAGGATTCCAGTCGGATGCAGGATTCCAGTCGGAGTTCAACGAGCGAACGGATGATATCCCGGAATATAGTGTCATCACATTTTTCCATCCGTGAATCAATACGTGAGAATATATATATATATATATATATATATATATATATATATATATATATATATATATATATATATATATATATATATATATATATATATATATATATATATATATATATATATATATATATATATATATATATATATATATATATATATATATATATATATGTTGTAAATTCTTCCGGGAGGTAGTCCTCTACCTCCACTTAGAGCCAGCCAGACCAGATGCGGAGTAAAACACGGAACAATTTACAACACATATATAAGACCCGCGGAAGCCTAAAACAAAAAATCCAAAATTATTATTATCCAAAATTATTATTACGCAAAATTATTATTATCCAAAATTATTATTATCCAAAATTGTTATTATCCAAAACTATTATTATCCAAAATTAAATAATATAAATAATAAACGTATAACTGCGTTCGGCAACAGTCTGGAGCACATTGAGTGGTCCAAACTTGTCAGTAATGAACAAAGTGGCGTTGAGTTTTGTTCTATGTTTATTGAACAACTTAGGGGAGCTGTCGACAGTTTCTTTCCCATTGTTAACTCTACCATCCATTGCTCGCCAATTAAATGGTTCAATGAAAACCTTAAACAAATGCGCCAGCATCTTTTATGCCTTAAAAAAAAATACCATAGTTCAAAAAGTAACCAAGACTTTCATGCTTACAAGCGGTTCCACAAAGAATATCGTCACACTATAAAGGTGGAGAAAAAGAAGACTTATGATGACATAATTCTGAGTTCAAATGATAAATCTAAAACGACATGGAATATTGTTAATTCGGAGAGACGGTCTAAGCACAGTAACTCTATTCAATCATCTATTACTCCGTTGGAGTTCAACAGATATTTTGCTTCTGTGTCAGCGGAGATAACGAAAACCATCACACCTTCAGTAGTAGATGCTATGACCTACATCTCCAGATCATCTAGACCCAATTTCTCGTTTTTTATGTCGGCAGTTGTGGAGAGTGATGTTAGGGAAGCGATTTTAAAACTAAAAAACTCTCGTTGTCTTGACTATTATGGTCTAAATGCCAATATTATTAAGCAATCAATATCTTCACTTCTGAAACCTATTATGTTACTAATAAACAATAGCATTGAAGAGGGATGTTTTCCGGATGAATTAAAAGTGACAAAAATTCTTCCACTCCATAAAAAAGGGGATACTAATATCTTAGATAATTTTAGACCAATAGCAATCGTTCCTATCATTGGAAAAATTTTTGAGTCGATAATAAAAGATAAACTTATTGCTTACTTTGAGGGAAGGAAATTGTTAACAGATTCCCAATTTGGTTTTCGGTCAGGTAGGTCCACCATCCGTGCCTTATACACAGTGATTGAGCATGTGATTGATGGGTTTGAGGAGGGCCTGTCGACTTCGGTAACGATGTGCGACCTCACCAAGGCATTCGACTGCGTGGATACTAATATACTTCTGTCTAAACTTGAGTACTACGGAATTCGTGAAAATACCTTAGCCCTTTTAAAATCTTATTTGACCGGAAGAAAGCAATATGTTGTCTGGAATAATCGGGAATCCACTCTGTTGGACATTACTAATGGAGTGCCTCAGGGTTCCATCCTTGGTCCACTTTTGTTTATAATATATGTCAATGATGTAGTATTTGCAACAAATGCTGCTCGCAGTATACTCTATGCGGATGACACATCATTGATTGAATCGGAGAAAGATCTAACTAATTTAAATAAAAAGGCTGTCACTACACTCTCTATGATTGAGCACTGGTTCTCTGCAAATAAACTTAAATTAAATTCCGATAAAACAAAGACTCTAATTTTCAATACCAATCGAAGAAGTAAAAAATCTGAACCGGTCAAACTCCTTGGTGTTTACCTAGATGCGTTTTTAACGTGGTCGCCTCATATAGACTACCTGTGCGGTAAATTGTCATCTCAGGTTTTTGTTCTGAGACAACTGCGAGGTTCGATCTCGCAAAGCACTCTCCGTATAGTTTATTTTGCACTGTTTCATAGTATCTTATCTTATGGTCTACTATTGTGGGGGAACGCGACGGAGGCCGAGAGAGCCTTTAGATTGCAGAAGTCTGCGGTTCGGGTTCTTGGGGGTGTTCCGCCGTCCAGCCACTGCCGCCCAATATTCAAAGAATTGAAAATACTTACGTTACCTTGTATGTTTATTCTCCAAACTTTAGTTGAAATCCACTCAAATTTGTCTGTTTTTCCGACTCATGGCGGATATCACAGTTACATGACGCGAACAGCTGACAATATCAAAACATTAAGATCGAGGTTGTGTACTACACAAAAAAATAAACTTAATCTAGAATTGTATAATATTTTTGCAAACACTATTTTTCGGTCCAAAAATATTGATATTAAACGACTTTCCATCAAAAAATTCAAACAATTATCAAAAAAGTTTTTTGAAGAGCATTGTTTCTATTCCATAAACGAATTTGTTACTTATCGGGCTCAGTAGATCTAGATTATTTTAAGTTATTTTATAAATTGTTATTCTTTTGCTGACTTTAAAAATACGTTTTGTATTTGTAAATGGTCAATAAACGATATATATATATATTATTATCCAAAATTATTATTATCCAAAATTATTATTACCCAAAATTATTATTATCCAAAATTATTATTATCCAAAATTATTATTATCCAAAATTATTATTATCCAAAATTATTATTATCCAAAGTTATTATTATCCAAAATTATTATTATCCAAAATTATTATTATCCAAAATTATTATTATCCAAAATTATTATTATCAAAACCACAGCATTGAATGTTATATTACATTATCCTTACCGTTTGTGATATGGATCGAAAAATTCTGGCATGAAAGCGATACTCTCCAAGAAGCTCTCGTTCAGGGCCCTGCAAAAAAAAATCGATATACTAACAACCTCTTTAGCAACGGCAATTAGAAATACAAAAACAAAACTGTTGAAGAAGTTTCAAAAAAATATAGGAGGTAATCACTTGTGAATTTCTCGAACAAAAACTCCAAACGGATATCCTTGAATCTTCCGAGACATCCTTATCTAATGAATTTAAACTTTTTTTTTTAATTTTTTAAAATTTTGGCACTGGACTCCCAGAAGAAAGCATACACAAGCATGGGGAAGTATTCAGAAAATGATGTACATTCACCACGACAGAAAATATTCAACACTAAAAAATACAACAAACGATTTGCAAAAGACTACATTGCCAGAGCTGATGATAAATTTAGACTTACCTCATCCAAGGCACCATGAAATGAGAAAGATTCAATTGTGGAAAGATAGAACATTAACCGAAAAGGACTGGAGAAAAAATTCTAATTTTAAAATGCGAAAAATTTGGGAAAAAAGCTAAATAAATCGAAAATGTTGGACATTATTTTTGAAGTTCTGAAACGGCAACCAGAGGGCGTAGTTGAGTTTCAATAAACTTGCAGTCATTAAAAAGGTCTTTTAAATGCAACGATATTAAGTAAAGGCCCACAATTCGGTGAAAACCGCATCTCAGCAAATAAAAGTTCGCTGTTTATCTTAGTTTTTATTATTTTGATATTCATTACTCTTTTCAAATATTGAATATTATCTTTTTTTTTTAGTGAAATTAAACCTTTCTTGCCAAATTTAAAAAATAATAATAATGCTAAGTTTGTTTCTTTCAGAAAACATCATGGAGAAGTCCAATTTAAGCGATGTTATTATGTGGGCATCGAATTCGACCCACAACGAGACGAAGTATACTTATAATGCAACAAACAACCAACAACCTATAGGTAAGTACAGTGTCTCGAGTAGTACTTTCTTGACTATAAATTTTCCAATAATCAGACTGATATCTTCACATCTCACAACGGCTGAACTCTGCTCGGTGTTAGACAGACAGTGCAAAAGTTCTTTGTCTGGCTTCTCATTCTTAAACGACTTCTATTCTGTCCTATTTCCATTTCTACACTGCGAGCCCTGTTTTGCCAGTGTTATCAGGCCTGTTTGGCATCCAATGAGCAATCACCAATATCACATACACATCTGCCTGAAATATATTGGAATAGATACCGAGAGACACAGAAGAACTGTCAGATATACCAGTTCCTGTTCAGTGTCTAGTTTAGATCGTTGGTATACCATGGTTGATGGTTGGTAGACCATGAGGCACAATAATATTTTCTCCCCCACAGAGCCAGTCGTCCTCTGTAGGAATTCTCGCTCTGTATGGTGTATGGAATCATAAGTTAGCCTCAATCCTGTCCTTTTAAGAGCCCCAAGACCCACTCTGAGGTCCATTCCAGGAGTACCTCCATCAACGCAGTGAGTGTGGCATTCAAAGAGTCCATCACTTTTATGCAACCCAATTTTTGTTGTCAACATAGAGCAACTATCAACTAGCAACTACCCACTCTTCTTTTTCTTTTTGTTACAGTATTTTTTTATATTTTGCCACTTCTAAGTTTTCTTGCTTGCAGTTTCTTTAAGATGTATTTTGATACTATAAGAATTTCGTGTTATGGTAATAAATAAAACGAAGTTAGTTAGGCCCAAACTGAAATTTTTGGCTATGAATTCTTTCGGAAAGGAACTACAGAATGGCCCAAGGAATACTTAAATCACTTTTATTGTTTGCGGATAATTTAAATCAATCAATAAATTTACGGGTTTTGCCTTTTCTTCCCCATTCCTGAACACTAAAAAGAGGGTACCAAAGGCGTCCCATATTATAAGAAAAATACATTATACAGAAATTAAATTTTAAAAAATGGTAATATCCTTCTAGCCAATTGTTTTTTGGCAAGACATTTTTTCCTTCGCTTTCAATATGAACGACTATTAATTTCCTCCCTTTTCCTTTTTCAAGACCAACGATTTTCTTTTACTCTCTTCGATACTGCTTATATGCTCAAAATGAATGAATGAATGAAGGTTTTATTCAATAAGCAAATGATACAGAGCTCTGGGATGGCAATTCTCCCAATCACTCAGCATCAGCAGTACACGTGGCAATAAAAGTCATGTTCAAGTTGTAGCCTGGACACTATGGTCTGAAGAGACAAGAAAATCCAAAACCTTCCGGCTTCGATAACCAGTAAAAGTCAATTAAAACACAATATTAGAAGGTCCCACAAAAACTGATACCCTTTTGTTCTGTGTGCTTTTGCACTTTTATACTTATTTAAATTTTGCTACTGCCTCGTATATTTATAGGGTAAATAGTTATAGCTTTATGCTAAATAAAAAATAAAGTAAAAAAAGTATTATAACAATTAAAACAATAATTCTCATAGTACAAATGACAATTTATCAGATGTCAATTCAAAGATATTTTTTATTAATAATAGTAATTTAACAAGCAAGCCAAAAAGATTTTTGAAAGAGTTTGAAGAATGTAGTGAACGGTCTAAACCTCGAAGATTGTCGGAGTTCTCTAAAGTAGATAGTTCTGCAATTAAATATTTAAAAGAAGATCAGTCCAAAACCTCCAGTTCGCAAATCAATGTAGACGAAATACTCTGGCTTTTTATTGAAGCTAAGTCGGCCAGACATCAATATACATTATACAAAATGGCCCGTACCCATCTTTTTAATGATATAAAAGATCTTTTTATAGTGAATTTTACTTCTGAAATTAACAGCCATATTATACAAAACTCATATTTTACATATTTACATATTTTACAAGAGCCATACGCATAGCCATAATGGAACAATTTATAATGATTGATAATGATGATTAGTTTAGTTTTCACTTTTATGTTTTTTATTAAAATAATTTGTTTTTTTTTAAGGTATGTTTCTTACTGTTAATAAAATTTTACTTTTTAAAAATAAATAGTTTTTTTTTATTTACAACAGGTGTTTTTTTTCGATGTATTGAACTTTAAGTTGGCATTACTGTTCAAGATGGCGACCGATTTAACAGCTGTCAAGTGATTTATTCTCAGTTTGGTTTGGCAATTCATCATGAATTTTATTTCGACAATAATGGTCTACTACGTCCATTTTATCGTCGACAAAATCGTCTATCAGAGCAGTTAATTCGATTAGCCATGGAACGTTTTCGCACCACGTTTACTCTTATTGATAACTCGCATCCCCAGAGATGCCGTGCGGCGCGTACAGAAGAAGCTATTGCTGCTGTAGAGCGTAGCATTGAGGAAGACCCGAATGAGTCCATCCGCCATCGAGCACAGGAATTGGATCTGGGTCCATCCACTTTATGGAAGATTTTGCGGAAGGATCTTGGTTTACGTGCTTACAAAATCCAACTCGTGCAAGAATTGAAGCCAAACCATCATCAAGTAAGGCGTAGATTCGTCGAATGGGCCCAAAACGAGATTGCCGTTATTCCCGATTTTCATAAGCGAATTTTGTTTAGCGATGAATCGCACTTCTGGTTGAATAGCTACATCAACAAACAAAACTGCCGCATTTGGAACGAAGCTAATCCTCAAGTGTATGTCGAAACACCGTTACATCTAGAAAAACTGACTGTTTGGTGCGGTTTATGGGCTGGTGGAATCATTGGTCCGTACTTCTTCAAAAACGATGATGGCCAGAACGTTAGTCAATGGTGATCGGTATAGAGTTATGATTATTAACTCTTTCATTCCTGAATTGAATAACCATGATGTCCAAGAGATGTGGTTTCAACAAGACGGCGCAACATGTCACATAGCTCGTGCCACAATCGATTTATTCGAAGACACGTTTGGTGACCGCCTAATTTCACGTTTTGGACCTGCGAATTGGCCTCCAAGATCTTGTGATTTAACCCCGCTAGACTACTTTCTGTGGGGCTATGTAAAGTCATTTGTCTATGCGGATAAGCCACAAACGCTGGACCATTTGGAAGACAACATTCGCCGTGTTATTGCCGATATACGGCCACAAATGTTGGAAAAAGTCATCGAAAATTGGACTACATCCGCGCCAGTCATATGCCAGAAATCATATTTAAAATGTAATGCCACAAGATTATCTTTCGGATAAATAAAATTCATGTCAATCGAATAATTCATCGTTGTTTTATTGCAACTTAAAGTTCTATACATCGAAAAAAAAACACCCCTTATTAAAGTTTAAAAGTTTAAAATATTATTTGTCTTGGAAAAGTTAAAATTTGAGAAAAAATGGCGGTGCGGGAGCAGTAACGCCGAAAGTGTCAATAGCGTTTGGGCATCTATACTACTAATACATATTTGTCGCCATTTTTGAATCGTTGGTGGGAAAGCTCGGGCAATGCATTCTAATTTTCCGGTCCATTTGTTCCGGTAAATTTACGAGAAACCGTTTCCGGGCGACACTCGATAAACTTCGCGAGTAAAGAAAGAGTCCCTCGTGACCTTTCCTATATTTTTATATTCCTTTATGAACCCGGTATTAATTTTTACAAACACTTTGCCATCACAGTTTGTGTAAATAGTATTAAAAACTTTGGTCAATGGTCTGGTCACTTTTAGATAGTCCTGAATACAAATCTGTTGTCATTGTCGATTTGAAATAGTCACCGAAAGTATTTCTCGATGTTCCGCTTCAAAAACTTGTGCCTTCTAGCACGATCCATCCGAAAAAAAAAAGAATTATCAAAATTGATACATAAACAAATATTTTACAAGCGTGTGCATATCGAACTGCTAAATTGCTATTTTTTTTTAAATAAATAAATATTAACGCCGACTTTCCTATCTGCAATAACCGCGTTTTGAAAACATCACAGACTAAGCCGTTTCACGTACTCATGCCATCAACGCGATGACAACTTGAAAGCACATTTTAGGGGGGGTCGACTGTAGTCGATCTGACACCGGATCGAGTGTCAAGTCATTTGTGTAATATATCCGGCGCAGCCAGAGTGCTTGAAGCCTCGAACACCGTACGATTGAT